CTTGTTGACAATCAGGGGTCTTGACAAGTGGTCTTGAAGAGAAACAGTAGTCTTGAAGACAACCAGGGGTCTTGAAGAAACCAGTGATCTTGGCAACCAGTGGTCTTGAAGACAACCAGGTGTATTGAAGACAGCCAGGGGTCTTGACAACCAACGGTCTTCAAGACAACAAGGGCTCTTGAAGACAATCACTGGTCTTGAGAACAACCAGGGGTCTTAAAGATAACCAGAGGTCTTGAAGACAACCAGAGGTCTTGAAGACAAAAAGAGGTCTTAAAGCCAACCAGGGGTCTTCACAATCAGGAGCCTTGAAGGCAACCTGGGGTCTTGACAACCAGTGGTCTTGAAGACAACCAGTTGTCTTAAAGACAACCGAGGGTCTTGAAAACAAATAGTGATCTTGAAGACAACCAGGGGTCTTGAAGACAACCAGTGATCTTGAAGACAACCAGTGGTCTTGAAGACAACCAGGGGTCTTGACAACCAGTGGTCTTGACAACCAGTGGTCTTGAAGAGAACCAGGGGTCTTCAAAACAACCAGAAGTCTTGAAGATAACCAGCGGTCTTAAAGACAACCAGTGGTCTTGAAGACAACCAGAGGTCTTGAAGACAACCAGGGGTCTTGAAGATAACCAGTTATCTTGAAGACAACCAGGGGTCTTGAAGACAACAAAAGTCTTGAAGCCAACCAGGGGTCTTGAAGATAACCAGTTATCTTGAAGACAACCAGGGGTTTTGAAGACAACCAGGGATCTTGACAATCAGTGGTCTTGAAGACAACCAGTGGTCTTGAAGAGAACCAGGGCTCTTCAAAACAACCAGAAGTCTTGAAGAGAACCAGGGGTCTTAAAGACAACAAGTGGTCTTGAAGACAACCAGAGGTCTTCAAGACAACCAGAGGTCTTGAAGAGAACCAGGGGTCTTTAAGACAACCAGGGATCTTGAAGACAACCAGAGATATGGAAGACAACCAGAGGTCTTAAAGCCAACCAGGATTCTTGACAACTAGGGGCCTTGAAGACAACCAGGGGTCTTGAAGACAACCAGGGGTCTTGACAATCAGTGGTCTTGACAACTCATAGTCTTGAAGACAACCAGTTAGCTTGACAACCAGGGGACTTGACAACCAAGGGTTTTGAAGACAACGAGGGGTCTTGACAACAAGTGGTCTTAAAGACAACCAGTGGTCTTGAGGACAGCCAGTGTTCTTGAAGACAACCAGTGATCTTGAAGACAACCAGTGGTCTTGAAGACAACCAGGGGTCTTGACCACCAGTGGTCCTGAAGACAACCAGGGGTCTTGACAACCAGTGGTCTTGAAGACAACCAGGGGTCTTGACAACCAGAGGTCTTGAAGACAACCAAGGGTCTTGAAGACATCCAGAGGTCTTGAAGGCAACCATGGGTCTTAAAGACAACCAGAGATCTTGACAACCAGGGGTCTTCAAGACAACTAGTAATCTTGAAGACAACCAGTGGTCTTGAAGACAACCAGAGGTCTTGAAGCCAAGCAGGGGTCTTGAAGACAACCAGGGATCTTGAAGACAACCAGAGGTCTTGAGAACAACCACAGGTCTTGAATACAACCAATGGTCTTGAAGACAATCAGTGGTCTTCAAGACAACCAGGTGTGTTGAAGATAAACAGAGGTCTTGAAGACAACAAGGGGTCTTGAAGACAACCAGAGGTCTTGACAACAAGGGGCCTTGAAGACAACCAGGGGTCTTGACAACCAGTGATCTTGAAGACAACCAGGGGTCTTGACAACCATGTGTTTTGAAGACAACCAGTGATCTTGAAGAGAACCAGTGGTCTTGAAGATAACCAGTGGTCTTGAAGGCAACGAGGGGTCTTGAAGACAACCAGTGGTCTTGACAAGCAGGGGTCTTAAAGATAACCAGGGGACTTGGAGACATCCATGGATTTTGGAGACAACCAGTGGTCTTGAAGACAGCCAGAGGTCTTGAAGACAACAAGGGGTCTTGAAGACAACCAGTGGTATTGAAGACAACCATGGATCTTGAAGACAATCAGTGGTCTTTAAGACAACCAGGGGTCTTGACAACCAGGTATCTTGAAGGCAACCAGGGGTCTTGAAGACAAGCAGTTGTCTTGAAGACAACCAGTGGTCTTGAAGACAACCAGTGGTCTTGAAGATAACCAGAGGTCTTGAAGACAACCAGGGGTTTTGAAGACAGTCATCTTGAAAACAACTAGTGGTCTTGACAACCAGGGGTCTTGAAGACAAGTCTTGACAACCAGTGGTCTTGAAGACAACCAGTGGTCTTGAAGACAACCAGGTGTCTTGGAGATAACCAGGGGTCTTGAAGACAACCAGTGGTCTTGACATCCAGGGATCTTGACAACCAGGGGTCTTAAAGACAACCATTGGTTTTGAAGACAGCCAGGGGTTTTAATGCAACCAGAGGTCTTGAAGACAACCAGTGGTCTTCAAAACACCCAGGAATCTTGAAGACAACCAGGAGTTTTGAAGACAACCATGGGTCTTGACAACCAGTAGTCTTAAAGACAACTAGGGGTCTTGAAGACAGCAAGGGGTCTTGAAGACAACCAGTGAGTCTTCAAGACAACTAATGGTCTTGAAGACAACCAGGGGTCTTCAAGACAACCAGGGGTTCAAGACAACTAGAGGTCTAGAAGACAATCAGGGGTCTTGAAGACAATGAAGGGGTCTTGAAGACAACCAGTGGTTTTGAAGACAACCAGTTGTCTTGAAGACAACCGGAGGTCTTGAAGACAACCAGGGGTCTTGAAGACAACCAGGGGTCTTGACAACTTAGGGGTCTTGAAGACAACCATGGGTGTTGAGGACAACCAGGGGTCTTGAAGACAATCAGTGGTCTTGAAGACAACCTGGGGTATTGACAACCAGTGGTCTTGACTACCCAAGGTTTTGAAAACAACTAGTAGTCTTGAAAACAACCAGGAGTCTTGAAGTCAACCAGTGGTCTTGAAGACAACTGGGGTCTTAACAACTGGGGAGCTTGACGACAGCTGGGGGTCTTAACCCTTAAACTGTCCAAACGTAGATCAACGTTTTATTTTTCATTCCTTCAAATTTGGTACAATTAGCTTGAGTCTCCTAGACATGAAAGAATGGGTCTGTGCACTCAGTGTGAGCACTATTAAAAAAATCTGGGAGCACTTAATACCTTGTGGGAGCACCAGTTGAACTGAGCGCCAGCTAGAGCAGATAGTGTGGCAAACACCAGGGATTCACTGATGCCATGTTGCATTAACACTCTCATTTTAAGAGGAAAGTAAAAATAGGTTAGATAAATACACGAGTGAGTGTGGGTGGGTGTGAGTTGGACCTGACTAGCTTGTGCTACTAGGTCTGATGTCATGCTTCTTCCTTCAATGGATGTGACCTGACTAGGTGGGTCATTGGTCTAAGCCAGGGGGGGGTGACATGTACCTGCCTTGCATGGGCCAGTAGGCCTACGTCAGTGTTTCTTCTTTCTTATGTTCTTATGTATTCGGCAGGCTGGCCAGCTGGCTGGCTTTGTCTGTCTCTGACTGTCTCTCTGTCAGTATCTCTATCTGTCTATATATCTATATCTGTCTATCTGTCTATCTATATCTCTATCTATCTATATCTCTATTGCTGTCTCACATGTACACATAAGTACAGTTATTATACATAGTGTCAATTACCTAGGATAACCCAACAGACAGACAGATAGACAGAAACATGTTTGTGTGTATCAGTGACAACAAATAAAGTCAGGGTTCCCCAGCACCCATTTATCAAATGTCACCGAGCTGATAACAGATGTCATAACACGATTCTTCAAGGAGTGTGATATACATATACTCCAGGCAGACAGAAAGACAGATAAGCAGAGACAGACAGACAGGCAGGCAGATTGACAGATACAGATAGACAGGCAGACATATAGACAGACAGACAGGCAGATAGACAGACAGATAGACAGATAAATAGACAGAGAGACAAGACATGTTTGTGTGTAACAGTAATAACAAATACAGCAAGGGTTAGCTGGAGCAGTAGGTATTTATCATCTGTCACTAGGCTGTCAACAGTATAGGGATGCCTTTCATAACAAATGCTTCATGGTATACACCAGGGTATCTAAAACATTGCTACGACCTATAAATACTTCATATATATTTTTAGACAATAGCAGGTGTAAATGTTCACCTGTCAATGTGATTGTGACTATTTGAGCACTATTTCAGTACCTAATATTAGTGTCAGAACAAAGATTGGCTATGAAATTACAAGAACTGTTATAAATTGTAATTATCAGAACACAAGAAATATATAAATTAAAATAAAAACGAGAAAAAAGGGAAAATGGCAACACTTCTGCAAGCAGCAGGAGTCGATGTTGCTGACAGGTGAGCATCCAGAGCCAACTTCACGGTCTTATATCTCGGTAAGTACTGACCCTAAATTTTTTTTTAATCCTACAACATGTAGAAAATGTGCTCTTCATTTTAAAAGAAAAAAACAATTTTTTTATTTTTCAAAATATTCGGAGCACCACGCGAGTGAACATAGATCTACGTTTGGACAGTTTTAAGGGCTAAAGACAACGATTGGTCTTGATGACAACCAAGGGTCTTGAAGATAACCAGGGGGTCTTGAAGACAACCAATGGTCTTGAAGACAACCAGTTCTCTTGAAGACATCCAGTGGTCTTGAAGACAACCAGTGGTCTTGAAGACAACCAGGGGTCTTGAAGACAGCTGGGGGCATTGAAAACAACCAGGGGTCTTGAAGACAACCAGGGTTCTCTAAGATAACCAGGGGTCTTGAAGACAACCAGTGGTCTTGAAGACAACCAGGGGTCTAGAAGACAACTATGGGTCTTGAAGACAGCTAGGGGTCTTGAAGACAGCCAGGAGTCTATTTGTAATCATATGTATGCTGGGAGGCAGTTGAACAGTCTTGGGCTTCAGACATTTTTAGTGATATTGGTCAATTATTCTCACGTTTCTCTTTCTTGCAGACCCCTGGCACCCCCGGCACTCAAGCATTGACCCCAGACAACCCTGTCACTCCATTGCTGACCCAGGGAACCCTGGCACTCCAGCACTGACCCCAGACAACCCCAACACCCCAGTGCTAACTCCAGACAACCTTGGCGTTCCAGTGCTGACCCCAGACAACCCTGGCACTCCAGTGCTGACCCCAAATAACCCTGGCACTCTAGCACTGACCCCAAACAACCCAGGCACTTCAGTGCTGACCCCAAACAACCCAGGAACTCCAGCACCAACCCCAGACAACCCTGGCACTGCGTGTGAACGACCCTTCCAAACAAGCAGTAACCCCAGTCTTGTCCAGAATCCAGTTGACCCCATGTTTATCTTACATCATTTGCAGCCGCGACAAATAATTCCCAATTTGACGAAATTGTTGCCTGCAACAGAGTGAACGTGTTCTTTATGTAATGCGTTCCTGAGCACAACTTGAGGTGAGGAATGCGCTACTTGAAGTTAACTGCTTGTGGGGTGAAAATAGGTTAGGTTCTCTCTCCCGATTAAAAAAAATAATTTATCATACAGTCCACCTGCAGTACTGAAGTATTGTATACATTGATTTAAATATTGTAAAATCTCACTCCATAGGCCTGATGCCATAGGCCTGATGCCATAGGCCTGTCATTCTGGTGTCAGTCTAAATGTTTTTTTTTCAGTTGTGGCGTAAGGGAGGAGCACCGGGTGGTGCCAGGTGGCACCAGGTGGCACCAGGTGGCACTGAGCTGATGCCAGGTGGTGCTGAAGCCTGATTTAACTCTACAACACTCATGTATATCTTCAGGTGTGGTATTAAACTCCACCTGATGACCCTGGGAATGACCTGACCTGCCCTAACCCTTGCTGAACTTGACCTGACAACCGAGGAACGACCTGACCCATCCTAACCCTTGTTGAACATGACATGACAACCTGGGAATGACTTGACCTGCCCTAACCCTAATTAAACCTGACCTGATGACCTAGAAATGACCCAACCTGTCCTAATCTTAATTATACTTGACCTGACATCCTAGAAACAACCTGACCTGTCCTAACCTCAGTTGAACTTGGCTTGACGACCTAGAAGCAACCTGACCTGTCCTAACCTTAATTATACTTGGTCTGATGACCTAGAAATGACCTGACCTGTCCTAACCCTAAACTTGACTTGATGACCTAGAAACAAACTGACCTGCCCTAACCCTAGTTAGCTTGACCTGACAACTCAGGAATGATCTGACCTTCCCTAACTCAGGTCTGACCAATCACGCCACTGCCGGAAGGTCAGCTGTCATTGGTCGAGGTCGGTCAAGTCATCCTGACCCTCGACCAACACCTTCAGTCTCACAGTAAGTTCAACTTATCCAGTAATTCAAATCTATTCAGTTATCCAAATTTTTAATTATTGATTTATCTGAGTCTTTCTTTATCCAATTATTATTGTTCTGTTAGTGGAACAGTTGAAATATTATTGTTATTTTTATTATTGTAATTATTATTATTATTGGAATCATTATTATTATTGTTATTGTAACATTATTATAATTATTAATATTATTATTGTAATTAGTATTTTTGTAATTATTATCACAGGTCTCCCTCAGCATTCACATTTCCCACTTTTGCAGGCTTCGAACATTTGCGAATTCCCAGCCGCCCAATCATATTTAAAATGTGTCATTAAATATCTTAGCAATTGTGGCGGTGGCAGTTTGTTTAGAGATAGGAGAAGGTAGTCCTTCAATGTGACACTAATATCAACTCCACGGCTTATTTATCTATCACAATTCATCTAATATGACATAATAAACAATATTAATAAGATAGAAACGTGACATATACTCTAGAATGAATAAAATATATCTTTAAGTATGTCACAAGTGTTGCTGTGTTGTTGGGTGTATAAGGGCCTCTGAGACATAAGCTGTACATAGTGGTGGTGGAGGCAGCATCAGTGGCAGTAGAGATTAAAGACAATGGTGTTGTCAGTCACCCTGTATAACTCCAACAATATTGAAGGAGTTAGGTTCATGCTGTCCTTTTTCTATCGATTAATTGCTTAACTTACTTGCTGCACTGTTAATGCTACACTTTATCGCTGGCTGGCGCTATATCCTTTATCGACTTATGCTGCTTTAGTATCGTACATATTGTAGAATCACTGAAGAAGGCACATTTTTCCCTCTCTCTTCCTCCTCCACTTTGGTACTCTGCTACGAGTTCTTTCTTGAATTCTATAGTTTTTCTCACCTTCTTTACCATAGGGCTGGCACTAGTACAATATTTTATGATGTTTTCATGTGTTTTATGATCGTTCATGGTTCAATGGGTTAAGGAAGCAGTATTGTATTATATTTCCCTACAATATAGTGGGGCACCAAACATTGATGATTTTTCAACATTCGCGAGGTTCTTGATTCCCTAACCCTCATGAATGTTGAGGGAGACCTGTTTTGTAATTATTATTATTATTAAAATATTTGTATTAACATTAATGGTATATAATAATTTTTTCAGAGTACTGAAGGTGTGTCTGCCACAAGACCAGCTGTGTGCATCTGCCACAATACCATCTGTGTGCATCTGCCACAAGACCAGCTGTGTGTGTCTGCCACAAGACCAGCTGTGTGCATCTGCCACAAGACCGGCTGTGTGCATCTGCCACAAGACCAGCTGTGTGCATCTGCCACAAGACCAGCTGTGTGTGTCTGCCACAAGACCAGTTGTGTGCATCTGCCACAAGACCACCTGTGCGCATCTATCACAAGACCAGCTGTGTACATCTACCACAAGACCAGCTGTGTGCGTCTGCCACAAGACAAGCTGTGTGCATCTGCCACAAGACCAGCTGTGTGTGTCAATTGACAACATTAATACTTGTCAAATGACGACTCGGAACAAATCACATGCAACGACGTTTTATCGCCAAATGAACTTTAACAAACACCAAACTACAGCAATTTATAAAAAAAATATTTTTCAATATCTAAAAACAGCATTTTAAAAACCCGAACTGCATTTTAAAGTGACAATGAGGGTCCAAACAGATAAAAAACCATACCAGTGCCCCATTTGTATGAAGGTCTTCCAGTTTAATTCGCGTTTTACAGCCCACCAGCGAGTCCACACGGGGGAAAAGCCATTTCAGTGTATGGTCTGTTTGAAGGACTTCAAAGAGCGCTCAACGCTGAACAAACACAAGCGTATCCACACGGGGGAGAAACCTTTCCAGTGCTCTGTTTGCAAGAAGGACTTTAAACAAACGGGCCATCTAATGATCCACATGAGGGTTCACACAGGAGAGAAACCCTACCAGTGCTCAGTTTGTTCCAAGAACTTCGCCGTGCGGTCGGCACTTGTCAAACACGTGAGGCTTCATTCGGGTGAGAAACCCTACCAGTGCTCCATCTGCTGGAAGCCCTTCTCCAGGCAGTGGTCGCTGGCCAAGCACATGGGGATCCACTCGGGCCTAAAACCCTACCGTTGCTCTGAATGCCTAAAAGATTTTGTGACCAAATCGAGCCTAATTGACCACATTAAAGCACACACAGGGGAAAAGCCATTCCACTGCCTCATGTGCGCCAAAACGTTTGTGCGGAGGGCCGCCCTGGCTCGTCACATGCGAACACACAGCCGCGAGCGGCCATACCAGTGCTCCAAGTGCTTAAAGTGCTTCCTGCATAAGAACAACCTGGTGAACCACATGAGGATCCACATGCAAGAACGACTGGAAAGTAATGTCCAAGGCCTAAAGAATTTCAGAAAAATCTCGGCTGGGAAGGCCTACGATGATTCGGGGTCAAGTTGGGCACCCCCGATGTAAAATCAAGTTGATTGGGACCCTCACTGTAAATTTTGATCACTAGGGTACTCTCCCAGTGTCAGTTTACACATTCAGTGTCAATTTATGCCCTCAGTGTAAATTTCAATTGCTAGGTACATACCCAGGGTCAAATTCCATTCTTAGAGCAAAGTATCAACTTTTTACAAGAGGTCGTCGTCAGGAAAGTATTCCAATGTATATTTCAATTTCCATCGTACACTGTGGGATAGACATCGATGTATACGAACCTTCAATTTAACGACCAATGGGGTATGACTAATGGGTGTATCTATTAGAACGGATCATCCACTCAGATCCATCTCTAGGGCAGTGTTTTCCCATGATTGCAGTGACAGCGGTCGATCCTGGGGCCTGGCGGACACTGTCCTCTGTTCCTGGATGTCATCTGGCCACCAATTTTACCTGACAACACAATTTTGTCAAGCACTGGACAGAAATTTTACAGTATAGTCAACTCTCTTATAAACTTCTGAATAAAAAGGTACATCCAGTGTTGACTAGTGCATGGAAAGGCTTTCTTAGCCTAGGCCATTCAGTTTCTGATGCTGTCAGTCGTGATTGTGAAAAACTCATACTAGAGTACATAGAAGAGCTTTACAAGAGTGAATGGTATATAGAGGAGCTATATAAGAGAGCTGACTCTATGTAGAGGAACTTAAAAAAGAACTGACTATGTTAGCATACAGGTGGAGGCTGATGGTACACAGGTGTAAGTGCTCCTTAACGACTTACGGTCAATGTGTTTCATAGGCCTTTAGTCCTACCCTAGTGGTAGGTGGAGGGTAAGTTGAACATCCCATGCCTCACACCCAGGAACTCTCATTGGCACCAGAAAACAGCCCTATTTGTGGCGTTTGCACTGATCTGGCATATGCTCCTACTTGCTACAGCAATATGATGTATATCTTCATACGCTCTAGGCATATATATCGACCTGGCATATGCCTCCATGACCGCATTAATATACAACCCTGGGTGCCAGATTGGCCCCTGTTGAGCTGTATTTTCTTGTGTCGAAGTGGCGGACCAATGACTAGAGCTCCGCTGTTGCAAATCCTGCCCGTTTGTCTCCGTTTGTTTCTTAAAAATGTGTTTTTTAAATATTTGGGCCCTGCTATGAGTAATGCTGTGTATGTGTGTGTAATATTGATGTTATATTGTGTTGAATAAAATACTTGTACAACACCTGTGTCTCTTTATTGATGACTGTGGTACTGACTACCTTCTATTATGACTGGTACTGACTACATTCTATCATGACTGTGGTACTGACTACCTTCTATTATGACTGTGGTACTGACTACATTCTATCATGACTGTGGTAGTGACTACCTTCTATCATGACTGTGGTACTGACTACCTTCTATCATGATTGGTACTGCCTACCTTCTATCATGACTGTGGTACTGACTACCTTCTATCATGACTATGGTACTGACTGCCTTCTATCATGACTATGGTACTGACTACTACCTTCTATCATGACTGTGGTACCGACTACCTTCTATCATGACTGAGGTACTGAGTACCTTCTATCATGACTGTGGTACAGACTACCTTCTATCATGACTGTGGTACCGACTACCTTCTATCATGACTGAGGTACTGACTACCTTCTATCATGACTGTGGTACTGACTACCTTCTATCATGACTGTGGTACTGACTACCTTCTGTCATGACTGAGGTACTGACTACCTTCTATCATGACTGTGGTACTGACTACCTTCTGTCATGACTGAGGTACTGACTACCTTCTATCATGACTGAGGTACTGACTACCTTCTATCATGACTGAGGTACTGACTTCTATCATGACTTTGGTACTGACTACTTTCTATCATGACTGTGGTACTGACTACCTTCTATCATGACTTTGGTACTGACTACTTTCTATCATGACTGTGGTACTGACTACCTTCTATCATGACTGTGGTACCAACTACCTTCTATCATGACAGAAGTACTGACTACCTTCTATCATGACTGTGGTACTGACTACCTTTTTCATGACTGGTAATGAGTACCTTCTATCATGACTGTGGTACTGACTACCTTCTATCATGAGCCTGGTACTGACTATCTTCTATCATGACTTAGGTACTGACTACCTTCTATCATGACTGACTACCTATCATGACTGTGGTACTGACTACCTTCTATCATGATTGGTACTGACTACCTTCTATCATGACTGTGGTACTGACTACCTTCTATCATGACTGTGGTACTGACTACCTTCTATCATGACTGTGGTACTGACTACCTTCTATCATGACTGTGGTACTGACTACCTTCTATCATGACTGGTACTGAGTACTTTCTGTCATGACTGGTACTGACTACCTTCTATCATGACTGTGGTACTGACTACCCTCTATCATGACTGTGGTACTGACTACCTTCTATCATGACTGTGGTACTGACTTCCTTCTATCATGACTGTGGTACTGACTATCTTCTATCATGACTGTGGTACTGAGTACCTTCTATCATGACTGTGGTACTGACTACCTTCTATCATGACTGTGGTACTGACTAGCTTCTATCATGACTGTTTTACTGACTACCTTCTATCATGACTGAGGTACTGACTACCTTCTATCATGACTGTGGTACTGACTACCTTCTATCATGACTGAGGTACTGACTACCTTCTATCATGACTGTGGTACTGATTACCTTCTATCATGACTATGGTACTGACTACCTTCTATCATGACTGTGGTACTGACTACTACCTTCTATAGTGACTGTGGTACTGACTAGCTTCTATCATGACTGTGGTACTGACTACTACCTTCTATCATGACTCTGGTACTGACTACCTTCTATCATGACTGAGGTACTGAGTACCTTCTATCGACTGTGGTACTGACTACCTTCTGTCATGACTGTGGTACTGACTACCTTCTATCATGACTGTGGTACGGACTACTTTCTATCATGACTGTGGTACTGACTACCTTCTATCATGACTGTGGTACTGACTACCTTCTATCATGACTGAGGTACTGACTACCTTCTATCATGACTGTGGTACTTACTACCTTCTATCATAACTGTGGTACTGACTACCTTCTATCATGACTGTGGTACTGACTACCTTCTATCATGACTGTGGTACTGACTACCTTCTATCATGACTGTGGTACTGACTACCTTCTATCATGACTGTGGTACTTACTACCTTCTATCATAACTGTGGTACTGACTACCTTCTATCATGACTGTGGTACTGACTACCTTCTATCATGACTGTGGTACTGACTACCTTCTATCATGACTGTGGTACTGACTACCTTCTATCATGACTGTGGTACTGACTACCTTCTATCATGACTGTGGTATTGACTACCTTCTATCATGACTGTGGTACTGACTACCTTCTATCATGACTGTGGTACTGACTACCTTCTATCATGACTGTGGTACTGACTGCCTTCTATCATGACTGTGGTACCGACTACCTTCTATCATGACTGTGGTACTGACTACCTTCTATCATGACTGTGGTACTTACTACCTTCTATGATGACTGAGGTACTGACTACCTTCTATCATGACTGTGGTACTTACTACCTTCTATCATAACTGTGGTACTGGCTACCTTCTGGCATGACTGTGGTACTGACTACCTTCTGTCATGACTGAGGTACTGACTACCTTCTATCATGACTGTGGTACTGACTACCTTCTATCATGACTGTGGTACTGACTACCTTCTATCATGACTGTGGTACTGACTACCTTCTATCATGACTGTGGTACTTACTACCTTCTATCATAACTGTGGTACTGGCTACCTTCTATCATGACTGTGGTACTGACTACCTTCTATCATGACTGTGGTACCGACTACCTTCTATCATAACTGTGGTACTGGCTACCTTCTGTCATGACTGAGGTACTGACTACCTTCTATCATGACTGTGGTACTGACTACCTTCTATCATGACTGTGGTACTGACTACCTTCTATCATGACTGAGGTACTGACTACCTTCTATCATGACTGTGGTACTGACTACCTTCTATCATGACTGTGGTACTGACTACCTTCTATCATGACTGTGGTACTGACTACCTTCTATCATAACTGTGGTACTGACTACCTTCTGTCATGACTGAGGTACTGACTACCTTCTATCATGACTGTGGTACTGACTACCTTCTATCATGACTGTGGTACTGACTACCTTCTATCATGACTGTGGTACTGGCTACCTTCTATCATGACTGTGGTACTGACTACCTTCTATCATGACTGTGGTACCGACTACCTTCTTTCTGTTAGTTTTAGGCCTATGCCCCAATCATACCACGGGCAGGGCTGTTACTCTCAGTAGTGTTAAAACTCCAGAGTGACGTGATAGTCACTGGTCTGGAGTTTACAACTCTACCTCGGGTTCGATCCCCGCCCATGCTGTGGTATGCAATCGTATCAATACGATTTAGTGAGCCTATATGCAGCCTACTACCGGTCCTCTCCCATGAGGCTGTGTTTTGATCCTAGGAGCAATTATTGTAAGGCTCTTGATCCAAGGTTGTAATGTTATCTACCACCCCATTGCCCCTCCCATGTGGGTTTAGTGCTTTAATCAGTGGTAGTGAACGCCTTCAGCGATCATTATACAATGTCTCAGACTCTTGATGCTTGTTAAGGGCTCTTGATCCAAGGTTTTTGTGCCTTATCCCTCCTACATGCGGGTTTAGCGCCTGTAAGTGGTAATAACCTCCTCTAGCGTACGAACCTGTGATCATTTATCATAATTTCTAAAGCTCTTGATCCAAGGCATAGGATTCTTTCTGCTGGTTAAAGGTTCTTGATCCAAGGTACTAAGCCGGTTTCCCACCCTATTTGTCCTCTGCCATACGGGTTTAGAGTCAATAACAAGTAACGACCACCACCAGCGAACATTATACTCAGTAATGCTGTAAAGCTCTTGATCCAAGGCAAAAGACTTGTTGCTAGTTAAAAGCTCTTGATCCAAGGTATTAAGCTCGTCTGCCACCCAAATACACCTCTTAAATGCGGATTTAGCGCCTAAAACAGCAGTAATAACCAGGTCCAGCGCATGAATTTCCAATGATCGTTACTTTAAATAATAATAACCAAGGCTTTTGATCCAAGGCTATAAGTTCTTTATTAGTGTCAATTATGACTTATTACCCCTGCTACATGCGCGTTTAGCGCCTTAATCACTCGTAATGAACGCTTCCCGCGATCATTGCAGTAATGCTGTAGGGCTCTTGATCCAAGGTACAGGATTCTTTCTACTGGTTAAAGGATCTTGATCCAAGGTTCTAGTGTTAAGTACTACCCAAATACATCTTGTACGTGCGAGTTTAAGGCCTAAATAAGGTACAACAACCAGCTCCAACGATCATTATTTGTACAGTGTCTAGGGCTCTTGATCCAAGGAATAGGGCTGTTGCTGCTGGTTAAAGCCTCTTGATCCAAGGAATAGGACCGCATACCACCCAAATACACCTCATACATGCGGGTTTAGTGCCTAAAACAGGTAATAAACAGCTCAGTCACTTGCATATCATTAAGTGTCTAGAACTCTTAATCCAAGGCACAGGACTCTTGCTGCTGGTTAAAGGCTCTTGATCCAAGGTTCTAGAGTACCAACGTATCTCCTACATGCGGGTTTAGCGCCTAAAACAGCAGTAATAACCAGGTCCAGCGCATCAGGCACCAGCGACCATCACCTCCACTAAGGGTGTGAACCTCTTGATTATTTTCCCCTTAAAAACCCCTTAAAATCTCCCCTTAGCTGCCCTCTGGCCCCCCTGGCCACCCCCGCTGCCCGCACGGGTCCCTAGCCACCTCTACCAACCCTAATTACCCCCTAAATAAGGGTAATTAGATGATTTATAGTCACCTAAGGAAGTTCAGGTCAGTTTTTTCAACATTTTCCAGCGAGGTTTTCATCCAGGGAGGTGGAGCTGACTCCCCTGCCTCGGATCAAGACTCCTTGATCCCCCTACCACGCCTCTGTACCCCTGGAGGGCTGTAAATCATTTACAATGTGGTGTAAATGGCATTTTTGCTATTTTGTTGTTTACGTCTCATTTACGGGCTGTAAATAAATTTTTACGGTGAATTTACAGTGTAAATCGTGTAAATTTAATAACCCAGCAAGGCTTGTAAATGATTTACACTGGTGTAAATAGCATTTTAAAATTTTTTGTTTACATCTCATTTACGAGTTGTAAATATCTTTTACGGTGATTTTATGGTGTAAATTACGTATAATTTAACATATAATAACCTAGTGATACTTGTAAATTATTTACAGTAGTGTATATAATTTTTTGTCATTACGAGCTGTAAATGATTTACAGTGGTGTAAATTATGTAAACTTTAACCTATATTAACCCGGAAGTGTAAATAATTTACAATGGCATAAATGTGATTTAAGGTTTCAAGATTAGTTCACAATTTACAACCTTATTGTGTAAATGTAAATTTTAGTCCACAATAACCTGTAAATGATTTAGAATGGTGTAAATATTCATATTTTTTTCTTGTGTCATGAGTTGTAATTTTTTTTATGGTGTAAATCGTGTAAAATTTAGTTTAATCCAGTGATGCACAAGTGTAAATGATTTACATGGTGTAATTATCAATCTTGGTCTCATTTACAAGTTGTAAATCGTGTAAAATTTAGTTTAATCCAGTGATACACAAGTGTAAATGATTTACATGGTGTAATTATCAATCTTGGTCTCATTTACAAGTTGTAAATCGTGTAAAATTTAGTCTATAATAACCGGTAGTTTGTAAAAAATATGTAAATGATTTACACAGTGGTTTACAAGCCCAAATTATTTTTTTACGGTGACTTGTAAATGTCGGAGGATCTCACCTTCAAGGACCATAACATTGTATCAATCGCATCTGCTAGAAAAATGACAGGATGGATAATGAGAACCTTCAAAACTAGGGAGGCCAAGCCCATGATGACACTCTTCAGGTCACTTGTTCTATCTAGGCTGGAATATTGCTGCACACTAACAGCACCTTTCAAGGCAGGTGAAATTGCCGACCTAGAAAATGTACAGAGAACTTTCACGGCGCACATAACGGAGATAAAACACCTCAATTACTGGGAGCGCTTGAGGTTCCTAAACCTGTATTCCCTGGAACGCAGGCGGGAGAGATACATGATTATATACACCTGGAAAATCCTAGAGGGACTAGTACCGAACTTGCACACGAAAATCACTCACTACGAAAGCAAAAGACTTGGCAGACGATGCAACATCCCCCCAATGAAAAGCAGGGGTGTCACTAGCACGTTAAGAGACCATACAATAAGTGTCAGGGGCCCGAGACTGTTCAACTGCCTCCCAGCATACATAAGGGGGTATTACAACCTAGGATTTCAAATGGCCTGTTATCCCAGGTGTAATGGGAGCAAATAAACACAGTAGAAAAAGTTTAGACTTATATTATCCTTCACCAATTATAACAGCAATATGTACACTATGTACAGTGATAAATATAGTGCACTCCACGGAAAGCAAGGCAGAAATAGAAGCCACAAGATAGCAGACCGTGCTTCAACCAGCTCTAGAGTGGGAATGACAAGGGCAGACAGGAGAGCGGTATCCACATAACCTCTGCGATTGTCAATCCCACCTTCTTATTGGCTAGAACCTGGTCACTAGTTGAACGATGGGGCCCCATCATCAACTCTTAGAAACCCTGGTTCGCTGGTTGGGGGAGATGCCTTTTAAATGAGGGTGTGTCCTTTGCGCCGAATAAAGGTTAGTACTCTTTGATGCCACACCCCCACCCCGGAAGGCTCAGGATTAGGCTCCCACCTCCCAGTGGTAAACCGTGCGCCATGGCACAAAATAATGGGACCGCTATCCTCTCCACCATCCAACTCTTAGATAGAGCTCAGCTTTCCTAGTGCCTGAAAGCCAAACCTGAACTCAGAGTGAGACAGCAGTCAGATAACCCAACATAGGTCCAAGATAAAAGGGGAGGGTTTTAGCCCGTATCCCCTCACTAAAAAAAACCCCACTCAGGGGATAAAAAAAGAGTTTGAAAGGGGGGGTTACCACAAATACATCCTAACCTAAATAAAATATTAAACTAGACTCTTGACAAAGAGTCTGCCAACACATTTTCTTTGCGGCCCAATATATTAAAAAAAATTATTGTAGGGCTGCAGCCTGAGAGTCCAACGCATAAGCCTTGTGTTGTGATTCTTCATGGCTTGGAGATAGACTACGGGTTGTGATCACTGTAGACTGTGACCACCTGCGATGTTTGGCCCACTAAACATCGAAATGCTCCAAAGCCCTTACCACGCGCGAGGGCTTCTTTTTCAAAGGATAGTAAGCTCTCTGATTTGGCTGGAACTTGGCTGAAAAGTATGCGATTGGGTGCCAGCTCCTTGTTCCGATTTGTAATAGTACCGCCCCAACCCAGGGCTCACAAGCATCAACCTGTAATGAAAAAGGTTTGGAGAAGTCTGGAGACAAGAGAATGGGTGCAGAGCACAATAATCTTTTTGCTTTTTATAAAGCTGTGTTTACAATCTGACGTCATATTTTAAAGGGACCTGTTATGACTGGTATAGAGAGGTAAGAGGGGCTACAATATCTGAGAAATTCTTACAGAATTTCTGTAAAATCCTATCATGCCTAGGAAACGTGATTGAAGAGATTTCCCTATCCTGAGGAACGGGATATTCTTTATTCGAAAGACTTTAGCAAGTTTAGGTGCAACTTTATCCACTACTACTTCATGGCTAGAACAGTGTCAGTGGCCTGGCCCAAAGGAAGATTTTAGACAAATGTAACAGGTTTATGGATTCTTAAGGTTCAAACAGAGCTATTAAGTCTAAGTAGGTGTTGATCCCAAGTATCAGACACCACAACAATTCATCTAGGTATGCTGCCGTGCCTTCAAGTCCTTTAATAGCTGATGGACGAGTTTCTGGATGAAGAGGGGAATTTTTCATTCCGAAGGGGGTAACTGTATACTGATAATGACCGCTGGAATCACGAAGGCAGAGATTTCCTTGCTTATCTGTCAAAGGTACCTTATAGTTAAAACCTTTAAGGAGATCTAATTGGACACAAAAAGTAGCTAACCAACCAAAGTCAATTACGTCATCAGACGAGGAAGAGGGTAACATCTGTAATATGTGCCTCGTTCCACTTTACGGTAGTCTGTGCCATACGGAAACCTCCATCAGCCTTTTTTTTACTAGGATGCACGTGAAGCCCCATGGATAGAACGACTCCTCCACAAAACCATGTTTTAACAAGAAGTCTACTTCCTGTTGAAGTAAACTTTGCTTATCAGGAATTAGCTCTGTAGGGGTGAGGAGTTTAATTGGTTTTGATTTTTCCCACATCTACATCTGGTAACCTAACGTACATTTTTTCGGGCACATCCGAAAATAATTAGGATATGACTGTAGAAAGCTCAGTTAATTTGGTTGCTTGTATTTTCAGATAATCCATCCATTATCGGGCTAGGATCCTTGAGGAGGACAGAATTGAAAGTTTAGTATTAATTTCAGAGATAGAGTGCAAAAGAGTCAGAGTCGTCTCAGAGGTAGTGGACAGAGTCATGACAGGGACTTTTAATTGGTGTATGAAAGGCCTTGATTTGATTTATGTGGCAAGTTTTTGTTTTTGAAGGTTTATCAATGGGAGCTACCCACATAATTTAAAATCAGATATCTAAATTACTATCCTGCCATATGATCCGTAAATCTAGCTTTCAAGGTGTGGAGCCAGGTCTAGGTTCTGCACCAAACACCTTGTCTCCTGGATGGAACGGAGCGTATTGTGCATTCTGTCATTACTCTGTTTCATCTTACTTTGAGCTGTCTTTAGCTTAGCCGTGGCATTAAATCACGTGCCCACCTTGCGATCCTTTGAAGACGGGTTGTAGAGTGTGAGCTTAACGTCTTCCTCCCATCCATCCTTCTCTTGGCACAGAAGAGGGACCTCGTACATTGTGCCCCAAAGATCAGCTAAACGGGCTATCTACCCTGTAGACTCTTGCACCGCTCTCGTACTGAGAACGCAGCAGTGGTAGGATTATCCCAATCTGTCGGGAAAAGTGCCTCAAAAACTTCGCATCATTGTTTTTAATGTTTGGTGGAATCTTTCCAAAGGCGCTTGGGACTGTGGGTGATAGGGCAGTGGTTAAGTTGTGAATTATCCCTAACCTAGTTAATACTTCCCTAAATGATTTGGCAGTGAAGTTAGTAACCTTGATCACTTTGTTTATAGTTTTAGGGATGCCAAAACAAGAAATGAATTTTGTTAAAGCTTGAGAATAGCTTTAGTATTGATTCTACGCATTCGGGATCGCTTAGGATATCTTGTTACTTTATCCATAATTGTAATATATACTGATTTCCAGGACTTTGACTTAGTAGTGGACCTACCAATCTATAATTAAATCTGCAAAAGTTATCCATCAGCAGGTAGGGGTTGAGAGAGGTGCAGGTTTAATAAGAATGTCAGGTTCAACTTGCTGGACTTTTCGGCAACACCTAATATGTCTTCACATTTGCATTAATGTTGGCCAATAAATTCTTTTGTGATTTATACATGGTTTTTGTAACTTCTAAGTGACCTCCTGATGAGTATTATGAGCTATATTTTAATATCTGGAGGGTCGATACTGGTTGGAACCACTAACCTGTCGTATTAATTGCGGGCCTCTGTTCTCCTTACCAGTCTTGTTGCATACCAAATAATCATTTTTAAACTTCATACTTGATGGATGGACCAAAGAAGATTTACCCATGGCTGCATCAAAAGCGGAATTTTTAAGAAGGTCCTTTCGTTGTTCTCCCAGGAAGGACAGTCCTTCTTGGGCATGGAAACCGAGACATCTGGCAATCCTTGCA